GCGCCGGCAGGCCAGGAGAGCAAGTTGGCGGAAGTTTCTATCAGGCATCAATTTGTATACACATGAGGGCAATGTCTAGAACATGGTTAGCAGGGTAACAGGAAAAGAACCACTTTCCTTCACCCTAGGAAACGCACAACGTGACTCTTGGAAGACCAGGCAAGCTTCCTAGGTGCCTACTTCGAACAGGTGTTGAGCTCGTTGCACTATCCTGAAGCCTTCCAACGATACAAAACAAAAAATAGAAAAACAGAAACTTGAGGGGAAATCCACACAACACGAGGTATACAATGACCGCTTTCATTCAGATAAGCTGCAGGCATCACTAAGTTACTACAATAAACCCGCTCCAGGTTCCGACCTAGTCGTATACGAAATGCTAAAACATCTGCTCTCTAAAACTCAAAATGCCCTTCTTTCTCTGTATAAGGCCATTTGGTTTTCCAATGAGATCCCCACTGCCTGAAAAGAAGTCATTATTGTTCCGATTAAAAAATAGGACAATGACCTATCCTTAGTCTACAGTTACAGGCCTATCTCCCTTACCAGTTGTCTATGCAAGGTCTTTGAAAAAAATGATAAATAGAAGACTGATACACTTTCTTGAAACAAACAGTCTACTTGAGTCACACCAGTCCAGGTTTAGAGAAGGGAAATCTACCATGGACAACTTAATCCGTATTGAGACACAAATCCGTGACGCTTTTAGACATAACCAATTTTTCTTTTTGTGTTCCTCGGCATGAAGAAAGCCTATCACACTACGTGGCACTTCGGCATACTCGGAGATCTTTCACATTTGTGCGCGGCAGAATGTTCTGTGTAATTGAGAGTTATCTGTCCAGTCGAACATTCCGTCTTAGAGGGGGAACCAATCTGTCACAAACATTAGTACAGGAGACAGGAGTGCCGCAAGGAGGTGTATTGAGTTGTACACTTATTTTATAATCAAAATGAACTCCTTGCGCATGTCCATCCCACGAAACATGTTTTATTGCATATACGTCGATGACGTACATGTCGACTTGAAATCGTGCAACCTTTTGATGTGTGAACGGCAGGTTCAGTTGGGTCTAAACAAGGTTTTAAAATGGGCCGATGAAAATGGGTTTAAACTGAACACACAAAAGAGCACTTGTGTGTTATACTCGAGAAAGAGAGGCCTTCATCTTGATTAGGACGTTCACCTGCATGGTCAACGTCTGTCTGTTGAAAGTGAGCATAAGTTCCTACGCCTAATATTAGACAGCAAACTAACATTCATAGCACATATTAAGTACCTAAAAAACAAGTGCTTGAAAACCATGAATATTTTGAAAGAATTGTCATGCACTTCATGGGGTAGTGACAAGAAGTGTCTCATGAGTCTATACAAAAGCCTGGTACGTACATGCCTAGATTGCGGAGCAATAATATACCAGTCTGCAACGCCAACTGCCATAAAGATGCTCGACCATGTTCACCATCTTGGAATTCGTCTTTCTACAGGTGCTTTTTGAACTATCCTTGTAGAATGCCTGTACGTTGAATCGAACGAGTGGTTACTACATCTCCAGAGATCCTACCTATTCTTTCTATACTTCCTTCAAATAAACACAAACTACAAACACCTCGTACACTCCATCATCAATTACTTGTCCAGTTCTATTTCTTTTTTTGAAAACCGCCCTGCCATGAAACAGCCCTAGGCACTTCGTGTGAGGAGTCTAGCCGAAGAAATGCGTGTGCCACTTTGTGAGCTCTGTTTGGCTGCTCTCGCTCTATATGTCCCGCCATGGCAGTGGCAGCTCATAGATTGTGATATATCCTTTGTTAAAGTTACTAAAAGCGTGCCTATTGCACATATTTATACACACTTCCTTGAACTGCAGCATAAATATTCATGTCTGGAATTTTTTAGCGATGCCCCAGGCTCTCGCTTCTGTGTCCTACACAGAAGTTGTACAGCGGTTGGTCCATCTTTTTCAGATGTAGGTGTTCTGCACCCCAATACGACGAGCATCATCACTGCAGAGGCATACGCAATATTATCAGCCATCAAGCATATCAAAGAATTTAAACTGCCAAAAGCTGTGATATATACTGATTCTCCAAGTGTAGTAACATCTCTTAAATCCTTTAAAAAACGCACGAACACTATCCTTGTCTCTGTCTACTCACTTCTATGCATGATCTATGCCCAGCAACAGTCTGTCACAGTCTGCTGGATGCCAGGACATCACGACATTCAAGGAAACGTGTTAGCGGATTAGCTCCCTGTTTTCGCCGACAAGAATGCCACCATCAATACATCTATATCTGTCCCTGCACTTGACCTCAAACCCTTCATTAAACGAAAGCTCAGGGACTATGCAGCATTTATGGCATAGGCTAACAAAAATAAACTTCGCCTCATCAAGCCACATATCGCGAATCGGTGACCAATGTCGAAGTTGCGCTACACAGAAATAACACTTACCAGATTAAGAATAGGACATACACACAGCACACACTCGCACCTTTTGTCTGGTGGTGATCCACCTCTCTGTGAAAAGTGAGGTGAACCTCTCACTGAGCTTCATGTTATGATGTAACTGGATGTAATTAGAGGAAAACACTTTCAGTTACCCTTCCGCCATCAAATTACTTTGCACTCATCAATCTTTATAGGTAGGGAACCGCTTTTTAGTTGTCTATTGTTGTTTGCATTTTTAAAGGAGATAAACAGTTCTCACGCTATATTTTCAGGCATCTGTGCAGGACAATCTCTCTGAGAAGAGGTTGCTGCTGCGATGGCTATACTCAACAAAGCACTTGCCTCGCGGCCCTTGCACACAAGGGCGTAGTCGACCAAGGCACTTGTGCTAATGTCATTCATGTCCACCATGGTTTTATTATCGTGAACTTTCGCCATCTATTCACACTACATACATTTCATGTCTTAGTCATGATTTTAATACTTCTATGTTTTTACCCACCTTAGTGCGAGGAATTTTAAGACACTTATACAGCCACTTATACTCATTGTTCACATCTCTAGTCCTATGACCTGGCGCTCTTTGGCCATTGAATCGCCCTTGCGCCACAAAACACCAAACATCATCATCAAGTGGGTAGAGTCTTTTCCTTCTCTATGGCGGGGAAGGGTGGTGAGGTAGGGCAAAAACTTGAAACCCACTGAAACAGGTGTTCTAACCCCTGTAACTTCTTTGTTATTGCACGCATCTGCAAAATTTTTGTGGCAGCATGTTCACATAGCAAAAGTGCGCATATTTCTCTTCGTAACAATTCGTGGACCTTTGGGTTGTTTACTGGCCCTTTAAAGGTAGCAATATTATTTTATATACATGCATGTGTGTGTGTGTTATTAAATTAGTTGATGACATGGCTATGTAAAAATGATGTTTTTTGACCATTGGCAGTTTTTTCGAGGACGATAAGGGCTGGTGCCTCTGGCGCCCTCATCCACCGCATCCTTATCATTTGCTAGGCAATAAGCTGACAGGATTGTAGACAGCAGTACGCCTTTCCGCTATGGTGGGGCAGTGCTTACGGTGTGTGACTGCTGACCCAAAAGTCACGGATTCAAATTGGCCGCAGCAGTTTCATTTAGGTGGAAGTAAAATGCTAGAGGCCCATATGATATGCTATATCAGTAAAAGTGAAATACATCATATGGTGAAAAATTTGGAGTCCTCCACTATGGCATGCCTCATAATCGTAGGGTAGTTTTGGCATGTAAAACCTTAAATATTATTAGCAGTATGCCTTTTGCCTTGTCTTCCTGAATATTCTACACGGCAGGACATGATATATTTTCAAACTATGGAAGTTTATAACTACTTGTGGGTTGTTTCTTACTCATTTTCGCACATTTCTGGAAGCAACTAAATATACTGGTTGCATGCAGTGCGGTGCCACACGTGTTTCCATAGACATGCGAATTATTGCACTTAAATTTATTATAGTAAGTATCTATAGCGTTGCAATAGTAATTGCCAAAAGTATTGATCATTAAGCTTTGTAATATGGCAGGATTCATAAAAAGTGAAATTTATTGCAGGATTAATTTTGTAGACAAATTTTCACAGGTTTCTTTGGACAGGACTGCACATAAGATGCAAAACAAGAACTGTAATGTTCTATCTTGACTTTTTGTGGCTTGAAAATTTTACAGATTTGCTGAACATTGTGGTCTGAAGTATTTTGCCAGTCTGGCTATCGTGAGAAAAAAAACAACTGCTGTGCAAGAGTAACTTTCCAAGTCTTTCTTTTTGCAGTTGATATTGCAGCAAAGTCTTTCAGCAATATTTTGTCACTGTGTGATGCCCGACTTATAAAGGTACTTGCTTGGGCTAGTTGGTATCTATTCAATGTTACTTCATCTTCAGTGTTCGTTTTTTAAGCAGTGCACAATAAGGTAACAAAGGTGCCTGACAGTGGGCCGTTGTAGGGAGGGACCGGACAATGAACCGTATAGGGTTAATGCTTTTCTTACGCCTTTTTCACAATCCTGTCTAAAGCTTTATGCTTGTTAAAATGGCCTGATTGCTCCTACTAGCCCAAAAGCTCTTTCTACATATAAACTGGTTATAACCAAAAGTATAGTATATTTGTGGATCAATTGTAATGGACAGAATTGCAAATACACTCAAACCTTGATATAACGAAATATTGGTTATAACAAAATAAATGAAATAGTCTTGGAATAGATAAAGTGTTAGAAATATACCTTTAAAGCAAATTTTCAAATATAACAAACTTATTATGTGTAAGATACAACTTTGTCATAATGAGGTTTAAGTGTACTTTGATGGATTTGAGAGTACACATCTCATGACTGCACATGGCAATATTGGTTTATTTTCACTGACCATCTTTTTTATTTATTGCAACTTGTAATGCACACTGCAATATCAACACTACCCCTCTGATCAGCATGTAAATGCAGACTTTAGAGGACAACCTCTCATAGGAATATAAATTCATATGTTCTAAATAGAGTACTGGTGTGCTTTCAGGACCAGCGCCATGTCTATGTCATGGTTCCTTCTGTGGGAAAGCCTCTGCTGAACCATGGCCAACCTCTCCTGAACCACCTGGAGCTGCTGCATGGCATCCTAATTGCCCTTCATGAGCTACATACTCCTGCTAAGGGCAAATGTTCTACTGCCCATGGCCGTGTACACCCTGCCTGGGTAGTTGTGTGTGATGATGGCAAGTCCATGGCACTTGATCTGCCCAACTTCAGTGTCTACATGCCGGTATGGTCATCTCATGTACATGGATTTATTTTCTCTCTGTGTACAGAGGGGTCCACTGTTAAAGGGAACCGGAGCGCGTGTCGTCTGCTTGGTGCCTCTGCTGGCTGACTACAGCAACTAGTTTCACGCAGGAGCTGTGAGTGCTGTGGGCGGCGCTTCTTTATGGTCTGGTACAGTTGCGGCCGTCCTTCAGCTCGTCTCAAAGCCAGACGTCCCCGCGTTTTGAAATTTGTCCGCCGGCTATATAGCCACGCTTAGATGGAAAGCTGTGGCAACGTTGAAAGGAAGTTAGATTATGTGAAATACTACCTCATTAGTGTTTTTGATGGTTAAAGAAGCATGCCTTTTCTTTTAAGGGCATCTTTTTCTAGCATAGCTATATAGAATATTTTTTTCTTGTGGAGTGCGTATTCCACGTGCACCAATGCAGATACGAGCAGCTGCAGTGCTCGAGGTGAACAAACAATTTACAAAGACCTTTAACTGGCCCCACCAGGAAGCTTTCTCGAAGCAGGCAATTTTTATTTTACGAGAAGGCATACGAAAGACAGCCGTTCGGCTGATCTGTCATTTATCTGATTGCAGATCGTTCCTTCACTTTCTTTCTAGCTCGAAAAAAACTGACTATGTTTAAGCTTTGTGACTTTAGCTTCGCTTCGGGATGAGCTGAAGCACGGCTGCAGCTGTAGCAGACGACAAACGAGCACTGCCCACAGCGCTCGCTGCTCCTGCACCAAACTAGTTGCCGTAGTTGGCCGGCGATGGTGCCGAGCAGATGACACGCGCCCCGGTGTTACCTTGAACAGTGGACCCCTCTGTACATTGCCTGCAAAGTCATTTAAATTTTTGTGTATAGTAGGACTCCATTTTCAAACAAATTGTGCTAAGTAGCATACATGGGGAGAGGCCAGAACAAATGTTAACTAAAGGAAGAACAAGAAAAGGGTGTGGCAATACTTTTGCATATTAACGTGATAGTGATAAGAAGCTCGTTCCGCAGAAATTCCGGCATGGGTCTAGGTATGGGTGTGTTTGGTTGTGAGTGGAATATCATCTTGTGCGTGACTTAAAAATTGGGAAAGATGCAAATAAAATAATGAAAATATCTAGGTCCGAGTGAGAATCGAACTCTGTCCGTTCACGTGGCAGGCAGGTGTTCTACCCATGTGTCTGCTTAGAAATGCAGTGAAAATAATGTTCGTCAACTATTTCAAACCTTTTGTGAGCTCTTCCAGAAAATATTGTATTACCAGTAGAATACACTTGAGAAGTTTATTAAAACAGCGTAGTCTTTGCGATCCGCCTCGGCACGTTGCGTAGCGAGTTGCGGAGGCCGTGGAGCCAGCGTTATGATACATTCTACTGCTATGAGTGAACAGTACGAACTCTTGTTATTATCATCACCTGCAGCTTCATCATTTTGCAGAATTGCTAGGTTTAGCGCATTAAATGACTTCCATCATTTTTTTTGAAGAAGTTTCCCTTTCTCTGTGTTCATACCGCGTCTGCAGACATGTGGCAGTGGGCATTGTGCATGCAGTCTAGTAGTCAGGATTTTATTGTCGCTTTTCGTATGACCGGCTACCGTGTCCAACATAGTAGGACTGCTGTGTTTGATAGTACGTTCGACTGGTCGTTTTCTAACACTCCAGAGGCTTTAGTAAACACAGTAGAAGTGCTCTCAAACGACCACAGAAATGTGCTGTAAGCCATAGCGTTTTCATTATGCAATGACTCTCTAGTGGCAGGCTCGAAGCAGCGACAGTTCTTCCAAGTGTTTCTGACAGTTGACTCAAACGACCCCAGGAATGTGCTGTAAGCCATAGCGTATTCTCAATGCAATGACTCTCTAGTGGCAGGCTTGAAGCAGCGAAAGTTCTTCCAAGTGTTTCTGACAGGGTTCGTACAGGTCCTTGAAGTTTTTGAAAACGCTTCAATTTGAAAAATGAATTTTCGAGGCCCTTGAAAGTCTTGGAATTTTCAGCCGTCATTGAAAATCCTTGAATTTCGTCAGCAGTGCACTCTCACATTGACATTGTGACCTCTTAAATGAAGTAGAACGGTGTGTCAACTGGCAAACTCCCCATTTTCGAAGCAGTAATGTGGCGCGGGCACAATGGTTTTGTTTTGCGAAAATGCACATGAAAAAAAAAAAAAGTTCTGTGGCGAGAAAGAAGCAATAAATTCGATAGCAAGAAATTAGAATATCACACAAAGAAGGGCAAGCAACTCGATACATGCAACGCGCCACTCAAACACAAAGGATGCATGAAAAGAACGCGCACAGGGCGAGTGCTATTGAGCAACTGTCACATCTTGACTCTAGAAGTATGCTGCTTGAACACCAAGAAGGATGCTAGAAAAGAATACACATGTATCCACAGAATATAATATGACATACAGCCACAGATAGTAATAATATGGCATACAGCGCGCAAGCCCACTTTCGTCGGCCAAAAGTCTGATGATGTGTCTCCACCAGGGAATGCTAACATGGGGATCAGCAATATCAATCTCAAGATGAAAGAATCATCTATACATTTTGAAAAATTGACTACATAGCTAAAATACATCAAGAAAAAAAAAAGAGCTCACAAGCACCCTTATGCATTCACCTAAAATGATCGAAACTGTGAAAACCTTATTCTTTTTTTTTTTTTTTTTCATGGCTTGATTCTTTCCAACCCCCCTTCGAAAGCTTTCTGCACTTAATGCGGTTTTGTGCTGCTCCCAGGATCGATGGCATTGCAAGGTTTATACTCGGCACCGTTTTACATGACTTCTGTGACCAGCCCACAAATCACAACGCCAATGCATAGATACCATGTCAGGTGATGGCGTCATCACATGACATGGTGAATGATGTCAAGATGATGTAAAAGTTTCATCGATCTGTGACATCATGGTGACGTCGTGATGTGATATTTTTTGTATCACTCGTATTGACAATGCTGGAGGCCCGTAGTTAATTTCAGTGTTTGATGACGCATCTAAGGCTTTTGTCTTCAAAAAAAACCAATGTCAACAAATCGATAATAGGGCACCATCGTGTATGCCTCACTTCATGTTGTGAGCTATCACTCAAAAACAAATGTGATTTTCAGCTCACAGGAACTGATTACGCAGGAAAATTGCTTCACCTATCGAACAATCTCTTTATATTTTTGAAGCGATGACAGGCACGCTGTGTCAGTTAATGCAAAGATTTTGAGCTTGGCAGAACTAGGGAGCTTCAGCACAAATGGGCAGTGTACTCTATAATGAGCTCATTAGGAAAAAAATGGGAATTTGCAGCTGGGTGCCCTGTTGACGTACACTCAGTTTCCACGAGAACAATTGCAAAATACCCAAGTTAAAAATGAGTTATTTGAAACTGTTTTAATTTTCTATGGTGAAGGCTTGAAGCAATTCATGCACGCATCCCCTGAAAATGTTTCATACTGAGGTTCAGCGATCCCTGTATATAGGATAAACCCGAAGCATGGCTGACCACAGCTGGCTTTCAAAGAACTAGTCTGAATATCTATCTCTACATACCTGTTCATAATAGTAATAATAATAATAATAATTTTGTATGTGTTGTCACATGTTGCGTCTTTTTTCTATCTCTAGGTACATAAGTAATATCTATATTCAAACAGTTTTCTAAAGCCGTTGAAAAAATGACACTTTCAGATTAAACTTCTTACTTTATTTTTGTTCAGGCAGTAACTCAACTTCTACGGCAAGAATAGGGAAATTATTTACTTCATTTCATGATATCTGGATATTGGTACAGCAGCTCCTATAATGCGCTTTTTAAGCATGGACTTGCGGAATAATGAACCTGGCATTTCTAGGCTTACCTAGTGTTGCGAACACTGAAATGCTTCTAATATTTGAAAGAATAGTAGGATATTCACTTTGATTCGAATTTAAATTATTGAAAATGAATTTCGAAGTATTCACAAGGAACGAATGAATGCATAATAATCCAAATGTGTCGCCTGTAAAGGTGGCTTCGCTGCAGTGTAGGGGTGTTAAAGGGTGAACGCATCTATAAAGAAAAAATCAGCTCTGCCGCGAAGCCTCCCTTAAAATTTAAAGGGGCCCTGCAACACTTTTTGAGCATTGTCAGAAAACCCTGCTGATCGGTAGTCGAGGCTACCGAGGACACGCGAACCAAATATTACAGCGTAGCACTCTGCCTGCAATTCACAATAAATTCACAGTCAGCTAAAAATTGCACTCTTGGCAAATGATTCGACAAGCTCAAAAGGCACGTGCGACGTATTTTCTTTCCCTGTGCCATTCCTCTCTGCTTAGCTTCCAGCGTTTTCGTTAGGACGAAAAGAATGCACTTGCAGCATGCAACAAATTTTCGCATGTTACATATTTTATGGGTTATGACTCGCATCCTGCTCAAAGTCAAATCCTGCAATCCTGCTACTACTCGAATGAATTTGTTTAGACTTCATTTGAGCGGGGAAAAAAAAAAGCATTTGTATTCTGGCCCTATTTTAATTTTTTTTTAATTGTGTAGGTTAGTTACATCATAATTAATATGCCCATTTTTCTTTCTATGTCGTATTACTATTTGATTAGAAATTATTTGACCGAAATCATTATTCGCTTCGAATTTGCTTCGAACCTAAAACTCACTATTCGCACAAGCCTAGGCATTGTTTTTCTTTCAACTGTTGAAATTTATCTCAAGCTATGCGCTCGATGAGCTTTGTAAGCTACCTCAGAAGCGAAAATAAGCAGGTCGTATAGCCATCTCTACTCCCTATTTTGTATCCCTTACGTCTTCCCGATGTGCTATGTTCATAATGAAGAGCTAGTCGAGGCTAATAAAGTGTCGAATTAAGCAGTGTGTGTATGGCTAGAAAACCACTGGCGACAACGAGCAGTAGTGCTCGTATATAGTGGTGAGCGAAATGATTACTAGAGACCTAACTATTGGCAAATGCCTATTTTGTTTCTTGCGTCTCTATCGTGCCATTTTGACATATGAGCGT